ATTTTTTGTGTATAAATATTTAAAAAGTTTAAGTTTAACAGGTTGGTTAATCTACTTTAGGTTAATTTAATTGCAGTTAGAGGCTGAGGGGTATGAATATTAAGTTTTACTTCTTCATAAACCTTTTCAAACAATTTACATTAATCAATATCAATTTTCTCTGCTGTATATACCAGATTCAAACAGGTTTATTTGGTGGAGGGTTTTGTTTCTATTTATGTTCAGGTGAATTGAATTATTTTGGAAATTGGTGTTTGGTTTATGTTAACTAGTCTTTTTTGTGTGTATTTGGTTGATTCATTTATTGTTGTTTAATTGTCTGAAAATTTGAAATAACTTCCTATTCATTCCTTCCTTCATTTGTTCATAAGAGCCACCGAGTGCTTTAAAGCAGTGGTTTCCAAACATCAGGGATGCAGAGGCCTGTTAATTAAGTCAGGGAATCATACAGGACAGTTTAAAAACCACCCTTATAGAGCAGTTACTTTATTTTTTACCTTTAATACACACTTTATGTGTACAAGAAATTGGTGCTGTTGAGCTTATTTGGGAAGATTTTATAAAACCATTGCATTAAAGACGTTGGAAAATGTCTCAAATTAGTCTGTTTATTTCTGATTTAAAATGCTGATCAGTGGTGGAGATCTCAATCCAAGCTCAGATCAAAACCTGAGAGCCCTAAAATATGTGACCAAAGAGCCGTTTATATGACGTATCTAGAGTGAGTCAGGATGCTGAATTCAGAGTGTCTCTGACTCAGCAGTGGATCATCAGGAACTGTTTTCTTTTGTCTAAAGCTATGTGAAGGTCCACTTGATTCCACTGGACGCCAGCAGGGCCTGTGCGTTCTACTGTTGTACCGCGTTGGAGCCACAATGCCACATGAGTTTCAACGAAGGCTTCCGTATACCGGTCCCCGCTAACACCCTGGCGATGTGCGCCCTGCAGCTGTCGCTCTGCTCGCTGGGACCTCAGGCTCAGGAGGAACTCCTGGTGGGTCTGGATTAAAAGATGTTTTATGCCCCTTAAACGTTTCATCCTAAACGGCGAGCTGTGATCCTCCGCCCCTGCAGGGTACAGCCAAGCTGAGCCTGATGGATTGCGAGGGAAGTGCAGAGATGGTTTACCACTGGCTGCGAGTCCAAATGTTGAGCGGGACGGATCCACAGAGACCCGAGCAGAAGAGTCTGAACAACCGCAGAAACGACAGTCAGGAGGATGAACCACGACCTCGAGCTAAGGTGAACACTTTGATATTTACACATTTTCCCAAAGAGTTCAGGTGGATAACTGTAACATGGATTCTTGCTGAAAAGTGGAGAATTTTCAGCCTCCGTTTCCTTCATACAATAACGTTTAACCAGATGTTTCTATAAAGCCGGGGATAGACTGTGCGATACGTAGCTAGAGCTCAAACTGTACGACGAAATCACAGGGTTTAAAACGGCTCACGAAGGATGTTCTCACACTGTACGTCCAAAAACCACACGTTAGACTCAGCGCCTAGAGATGGCGCTGGCCGGACTCATCAATCTGGAAGAAGAAGAAGAAAAACTCCCTTGTTTGCGCATGCACAGTACTCAAGGTTCTGGTAAATCGGCTCATAGCTCTGCTTCAACAGCCGGATTTGTCCACAAACACGTTTAGACAGCCGACTGAATTTCAGACATGTTTGATTTTTTCCCCGACTTTACGATTCCTGATCAGGAGGCGGTCGTGAGAGGCTGATCGCCCCTCGTTACCCCCTGTATACTAAACAATGCAGGACGCACGACTGGAGTATGCCTGGCTAAAGTCACCTACTGTGAGAAGTATAATTTAATGTCAGTGTAAAACTGTAAGTTTCCTCTTTGTGAAGGAAAATATTCTGGTGGGATGAAACATGCATCCAAGATACAGCCTGCAGGCTAAACATGGCTAAGCTTGGAGACACGACGGGCAACATTGTTCCATCTCCCTTCATTTTCTATGGTCGTTATGGGATAAAAAATGTCATATTTAATCATATTGACTGGAGACAAAACTACCTGACAACCGGATTCTCAACCATCGCTGTCGCATTCCATGCGTTGGGTTCACCACCCTGAAACATGGTAGTGGCAGCATCATGCTGTCAGAGAAGCTAAGTTGATAGGAAGGTGAACAGAGATAGATAGAGAGCAGACATGGAGGCTGTTGGAAAAAAAAAACAAAAAACTCGAGAATGAATTGGAGGTTAAACTTCAATTGAGTCCAGTTAAAAAATACTTTATTAATCCCAATTAATGTAGAGCAACCTCAAAAACATGCATCCAGATCCACAAGTGAACAGATTACAGCAACTTTAGGGCTGAAACGATTATTTGTGATTAATTATAATTTAGATTATAGTCAACTAATTTTATAATTGAACTGACAAACAGATTATACAAACTTTGCATGATGCAATTTGCTAAAAAAATATAAATTACTCTGAGCAATAATTAAGCCAAAACTGTACAAAAGATGTTCCCAATTTCCATTAAAAAAAGCTCCTATTAATTATACTTTAGAAAAAAGCAAAAAAAAAAACCTTTGTGTGATATTGAACATTTCATGTATAAATTGCTAACAGTGTTTGTTTTTTCTATTGCAATGTGAACTATGATTAGATTTTCTTTCTTTTTTAATCATTTACAACTAAATTGAAATCTGCAATAAATGTTTTTTCTAAGATGAAAACTTTTGCTAATTGAGAAACAATAATTTACTTAGTATATCTTTTTAGATTGGTCAATTAATTGAAGAAATGATCCCTCGATTATTATATTAATTAAATTATATAAATACTTCGAGAGTCTAGTCAAAGTGGAGACCTAAATTTAAATAGGAATTATTGACAAACTGATGTTTACAGATGCTCTTCCAAAGTGTAATAGGAATCATCACCTGCAGGGGGTGCTGTGAGCATAAACCTGCTGCACCTCAGAGAGACTCATACAGAGAATCTCAGCACCAACTAGTGGTGCTTTGGATCACGTCGGGGAGTTTAGGAGATGATCAGAAGCTTTCTGGGCTTCAGGAAGATTCTGTGAAAAATGGACTATGAAAGAAATGCTTTTAGCTCCTGCGTGTTGCTCATTCATACCAGTTAAACATGAGGTTTATTCATCAAGTGTTTCCTGCCTAAAAGCTTGTGCGATGATGTTTTCCTCTCCCGTGTCACAGGACACTGTCTGCAACCTGCTTTCGCGCTCCACCTCCACACAGGCAGAGGAGCGAGCCGCAGGGCTGGAGCTGCAGAGGGCTGAGAGGGAGGCGGCGTCTGAGAGGTGGCCATGTTCAGTTCTCTAAGTCTGTCTTCTGTTTTTCATGTGTCTGTTTTCATGACGAATAGGGTGTGTTTTTTTTAAGGAGTTGGCAGGCAGAGTCTGTGGACAGCGGCTGCAGCAACAGCACGCCGTTTCCGACTCATTGCTCTGAGGGTTTGTGCACTGAGGGTGTCTGTATTTCCACCGGAGGGCGCTGTGATCAGACTCCCAGCAGGCTCTCTGCAGTAAAGGTGAACGCTGCAGCAGTCACAGTCTTTTAACATCACCCAGCATAAAAAGGTCAACAATTCAACAAATCCCCCTGCTTGGCTTCAGGTTGAAAAAGCCACGATGACGGAGGGTCCGTTTCCAGAGCCGGTGCGAGTCCGACCCAAGGAGAGGGGAGGTCGCTGGGGCCACACATCCCCGTTTATGCGCGGCAGCACCATCGTTCGCTCCCAGACCTTCTCACCTGGAGCACGCAGTCAGTACGTCTGCAGGGTGAGTTTTACTTCCACCTTAAATTGTAACACTTAAAACCATACGCTCCATAAGACTAACAGCCATTTGTGAAATATTTCCCTTTTTTTAAAAAGTCTGTTTCAACTTTCTTTCAGTTATATCGCAGTGACAGCGACAGCTCCACCTTACCAAAGAAGTCACCTTTTGTCAGAAACACCCTGGAAAGAAGAACACTGCGATATAAACAGGTGCTGCCTCCCTGCAGGGCACTCCCACATGAATGCCATTCAATTTTATCACCTTATAACCACATCATTTAATTTATTCCTTTCATTTGAAGTGCTAAATAAACTGAATAGGGTAGTAAAACGGAAGAAACAAATTAAAAAGTGAGGCTAATCTCGTTTTATAGATTTTCTCTACTTTGTTACCACAAAATAAGCAAGGAAAAGATCCTAGGAATGTGTAACTTAATCTCAGCTCTAGTGAGGGTCTCAGAGAACATGAAGAGTGAGGAAACAACATCATGAAGACCAAAGAACAAAGCAGACAGGTCAGATTTGGTCAGAGGAGACCACAGTATATATTTCGCTAACACTGCTCATCCATAGCGTTCCTTGACAGGGTCGTTTCTAAGTCACCAATTTAGTGCTACTGGGAGCCTACTAGCGCTAAGATGCTTCCGACAAACCGGCCACAACCAAACTTGCTTGTGAACCTTCCACCACAACAATCCAGAGCCCTTTAGTTGGGCTCCACTTGGGAGAATTCGTAAATGCATCCGTTAGAAAAGCCGCTTCCCTTAGACTTTAAAACCTTTGTGTCCTTCTGTCACATGAGCTGAAAGGTACTAACTGAAAGCAAATATTAGATTTGTTTGATATTACCAACAACAAATCAATTTACCGGTGAAAGGTTTGATTTTTAACCGACTTATGGGGTGAGATAACGCCCATAATGTGTATGAATTTGTAAATGGAAGTCAATATAGTGAATAGATTGTGTTAAAGGAATAGTACACCCAAAACATGATTAGCCTTCATTTTCTACTCACCCCCATGCTGAACAACACTCTGGAGTACTTTTTTGATATCTCAAATGCATCTGGAGATCTGGGAGGCTTCTTGCTGTCTGCTGACATTCAAATAATGGAGGTCTATGGCGCCCGAGGCAGAAAGGTCCATAAAAGTCCACAAAAAACGTGTCAATATTCCTCCATACTGCTCGTCCAATGTATTCCAAGTGTCCTGAGTGGGTAGCATCCAGAATTTACTCGAAACAAAGTCATTTAGAATGTTTTTAGAGCATAAACAGTAGTGTATAGGATTTCCTGAAAGCGCGTTCACGAGTCTACGGAAACCGCGGCAGACCAAACCAGATGAAAGTGCGCATTCAGCGTCTGCTCTGCCGATAATGCAAGCGTAGAAGAAGAAATGTGCTGTTTACCTGTGCAAAGAAAGAAACAACGAAAGAAAAATGTCTGAGGACTTCAGTGTTGAGGAAGAGCATGAGTTCTTTGCCGAGCTGAATGCGCACTTTCATCTGGTTTGGTCTGCCGCGGTTTCCGTAGACTCGTGAACGCGCTTTCAGGAAATCCTATACGCTACTGTTTATGCTCTAAAAACATTCTAAATGACTTCGTTTCGAGTAAATTCTGGACGCTACCCACTCAGGTGAGTAGAAAATGAAGGCTAATCATGTTTTGGGTGTACTATTCCTTTAAGTTAAAAAACACAAGTACACATTTATGAGTATTTATGACTGTTACAGTCATTCAGGAACCTTAGCTTAAAGTTTTGACAGTTGTCCCGCCCCCAAACCTACTGAGCAATAATATAAGCTTGAGGTTCAGTTGGGACTAAGTGTTCTTATCTGGGGGGAAAAGGGGAATCTGTAATTGATGACAAATATCCTGTGGATCCATTTAGTCAAATTAAATGAATAAAAGGACGCCCAGATTTCTGTATGTTTCAGATCATTTTATTTATTCAAACAACTAAAGCCTCACTGAGTCAAAATGTTTTAAAATAGAGATCAGTTAGATTTACAATGGGTTAGAAATTAATGAAAGAGGAGTCTCTATTTAAGGACAAACACTTGAAAAGAATGGCTCACAGAATATTTCCAAGTTGACCCCCAAAAGAACGAGCAGAGCTTGGCTTAGATCAAAGCAGAGAATGGCCTAGTTAAAGTTCAGACATATTTCTGTTTGAAAATCTGCTGCAAGACTTCATCCAATCTGAGCTTAAGCTGTTCTCCCTTCATCCCTTCAGATTATAGCAAACTTTAAAGGTGTGTTTTTATCCTTTGGTCTGTCACATGAAATCAGTAAATCCATGAAAAAGTAGAGCTAACATTTGGAAGTCTATATTTGCGTCTGCCAGCAGCAGTCGTACCGCTCCTCACTGGCCGAGCAGCCGACACGGACCTCCCTGGACTTGGAGCTGGACCTCCAGGCCTGCAGGACCCGTCAGAGGCAGCTGATGGAGGAGCTGAGCGCCCTGAGAGAACTCAAGCTGCGACTAGAGGAGCCGCAATCGAACGAGGTTAACGAGCTCCCCAACTGGGCCCTGAGGGACGAGCGCTTCCGCTGCCTGCTCAGAGAGGCCCAGAGACAGGTAAAACTGGACCTGCTGCAGGTGCACTGAGAACATGACACGCCCTCGCCCCGCTGCAGCATCAGCTGACTGTTCTGCCGCCCTGCAGGCAGGCCAGAGCAAACAGGAGCAGCGTCAGGAGGAGGCAGCGGAGAGGAGGCTGAGGAAGGCCTCCAAGGAGGTTCTGCAGATGAGAGGCCAGAACCAGAAGGAGCCCCTTCCTGTGCAAACATTCAGGTTGGAAACATTGCACAACTCTACTGACAATTTCAACGCTTTTATCTTTAAAGGGAACCTTTGCTAAAGCAGCTTGAATAATGTGCAGCACTGATTTGTTTGCACACCACCTCCCACTTTTAAATAGCTGGAATATGACAACCATTTGCAGGCATGTCGGTGCAAGACAACAAACCACTCAGACCTCCCTTAGTGCTGCACATTTAATACACACACAGTTATCAGTCCGCCTGCTCATCGAAGGGTTGCTATTTTGAAGTTCCTGAGATACTCAAACATAAAGCTGGCAGGATGAACTAAAATAGCCTAGAAGAACCAGGTGTGCAGATACAGGTGAAATCAGTCCACCCCCAACCCAAACAAGACAAATCTTGACTAATCTAGACTAAGCCAAGAAGTACATGGAGAGATTTTTGTTGATTTTATGAACAGACGTGCATCTTCTTTCATTTAATTTATTTCTATAAACCTTCCTTTTGTATCTCCCTCATGACCTGTACTAAAAATTCAGATTTCCAGCTAGACTTTAATCACTTTCCTTTTAATTTTTTTAATAAAATGCTTTTAGGAAAATCTGCAGATGCTTATTTATTTTTTATATATATAATTGAATGTCCCCCTAAAAACTTATGAGGTCAGAAAGAGAGCTGCTAGATTCATCCTGAGGTCAAATTACAGCTGGACTATGTACCAATTAGGTGATTGGGATAAAGGGGGATTGAATATAAATGCATGCCACACTTTTCAGATTAAAAGTGAAACTATTGAAGTATTTGCAGTGACCTGTGTTTGCATTTGCAGAGAGAAGATGGCTTTTTTCACCAGACCAAGGTTTAACATCCCCTCTCTGCCAGCTGACGATGTGTGAGGCCTCTCCTCCGTATTTTGTGACTCAACATGAAGTATTTGTCCATTTTTTTTTTGTTTCCTGAGCTCATGAAGTACAAAGTTGTTTCTGCTAAGGATAGCAGACATGTGACCTGCAGATGATGAAGACCTGAATGTTATATTTCACATTTTCAGAAGCCTTTTGTGTGCCTTTTTTTTTTCTTTCTTGCAAACACCCCCAGTCACTGACAAAAACCCGACTGTACAATTTCCTTTTTTCTTTTTCTTTTTTCCCTCAGAGCCGTGTTTCTCTCTGACTCTGTGTGCGTTACTTCAGTTTGTGCTTACAAAAGGCTGGAAGACGGGAACAAAAGTCAGTTTGGACAAATTCACTGTACTGTAACTTATTTTATAGTAGTTTTTTTTTTCCTTGAAGGAAATAAAACGCTTCTTGCTTTTTAAAATGTATTTTGTAGCTTTTGAACAAATAGCACTTCAGTGTTTTTACATCCAGTAAAATGAAACTATTGTCTGATGTTTGTTTTACGTAATTCTTGAGAGGTATTTACATAAAATGTCATTGTGTAACCAATTTATTACAGATGTCATTGTTATTTTGCTCTTGTTATTAAAATTAATATTATTTCATGTACTTTTCAATATATATATATGAAAGACTGTATTCAGATTATTTTGTTTCTATGAACATTTGCAGTGCAGATAAAACCAATCAATCTGCATCCTGACACCTGCTGTTTTGTTTCAGGTGCCGGACTTTGTGAACGCTACCCGTTCTGCCGACGCAAACGTTTTCTTCGAATCTGTCAAAGTGTTTACATGCAGATTTTCTCTCAAAAACCGCAGGCAGCTTCTGATGACCCCGTTTTGAGTGTAATTCTGCCAATTCTTGAGAAGTCGCACCGCACGCGGCACGCAGGCAGCTGCATCAGCTGCTTATCTCCTCGCAACTTCCTGTCGAAGCATTTCTACACGCAGCAGCTGAGGGGAGCAGCGGCGTTCCACTCGGTTTGTGCGATATAAGAGACGACGAAAAGGAGAAGTGGCAGGACTGGATTTCTGTGGGTGGGGGGGTGTAAGGGTAACTAAGTTCAACTGCTGTGAGGGAATAAACCATCGTGTTCAGTTAAAAAAGGATGATGCCCCTGCAGGCGAAAAAGTCCAGGCCTCTGCTTGTCTGTAATTAATGACAATGACTGCCAACAATCCTGGTCGCCATAGAGACGGCCACATACTCGTTTCTTACTTTTCAATACTACAAGTGATTAAAAAAACAACAATAAAACTGCTCGTTTAGTTGCGGAGGATAAAAGAAAATTGGCAAAAATTATTTAAAAAAAAAGAGAAAAATCAACATTAGTATTAAAATTTGTTTGTTTTATTGTTACAAAATATGTGTCTGAGCCCCCCCATGAGACGTACCAACTTTGGTCAATATCAGAGTCTATGATCACATTGAGTGAAAAGATTGTAGTATTTACAAAAAAAACCCTAATGAATAGCATAAAATAACCGCTTTGATTTAAAACAAATATATCCAATAATAGATGCTGCTGAAAAGAGCAAATATCTTAAACTGAAAACGATTAAAGCTCATTTTTGCACCAGAGCGTTTTGTTTGGTGTTTTTTTTAAACTGTTCTTTAAACCATTGGCTTTTTTTTTTTTTCAATAGAGAAGTGCATCTTGGTTCAGCCAGCTGACAGGCAGTGTGTAGAAAAAAGCTGAACTTTTGCCATCGTCTCGTTATAAATCAGTGATAATTTCAGCAGTTTTGACATAAAAGTGAAAGTAAACTTTGGGCATGGTTACAAACCGCTAACACACCACCGCCGCACAGTTTTAAGTCTTGTTTTCTTTTTCTTTTCTTTTGCAGCCTGTCAAACTAACCTTTGCGTGACTCATGGACAATTTTAAATACAAAACCTAATCAAAGAGATCCCCCTTTTTTATTTTATTTTAACCCTGGCTTCTTTTCTGGATGTTATAACACAAAACAAGAATCTACAAAAGCACCTAAGAGTCTTTACAATCACAGATTAGAGAGGGCCCTGAGTGAGGGGGCCCCCTGTTCGCATCAGCAGATAGAGAGACGTGTCCTCGGGGGTCAGCTCTCTAGATGGGGATGGAAACGATGGTTGGAAGTTCCCCGATGGGAGGGGGGTTATACTTCTCCACCCTCATCAGGCGTCGGAGGATGTCGTCTCGATCACGCGGCCAACCGTAAACATGAGTGTTTTGAAGCCAGTTAGGGACATGACACTTGAGCAAAAGAAGAAAGGAAGACATTAAAAGACCAGCGAAGGTTTTCCAGGTTTGAGTGTTGCAACACGCTCACCTTTTTAGCCCCAGGAAACAAAATAGGAATGAACCTGAAATTCTTGCTGCCATTTTGGATGAATTCATTCTGAAGCTGCGTGACACATAAACACATGTGTGAGTGACAGCTGCACTAAAGCAGGCATTTTAACAGGAAAGCCGCCCTCACCTGTTTGTAGATGTAAACCGTATTGAAAGTCCTTTCGTCGTTTTCCAGGTCGAACGGGGAGGTGGTCACCGTCTCGTAGTACTTGGGACTGATGATGATGATGATCAGGTACTCCTTCTGGGAGGGCGGATAAAAAAAATCTGCATTAAAATCTACCAGTGAGCTGTTTCTAAAGACGTGTTTGATCTTGCTCTGTGATGCAACAATCTGCCAAACTGGCGGGATAATTACCTCTGAAGTTATTTCATGTTTTATTCTTTTCTTTAAATCAGGTCTAGGGTAATATCTGATCTTACCTCGCTGAGGTACCGCTCCATGAAGTCGATCTTACTTATACTTCGGTACTGCTGCTCAAAAATGTCGATCTAGAACAAAGACATTTGTTCGTTAAACCTTCTAAGAGAGAAATGAGCAGTAAATGTGGAAAAAAGTCTTTCCGAATTCTTTTTTTTTAAAGAAAATAAGGAATTTCCAAATCAATACGGATAAAATCCTAAATGGGGTTGCTCACTAATAAAAACTCCAAGATAAAAATAATAATAAACCTAATCAAGTTAATATTTAAATCAGTTCCAGCACAAAAATCTAAACTAAACCACATGAAACAACTTCTCATGTGAAATCTAGTTTTAGTGTCTTGTTTTTTTCCCCTCATCCCCTAAATGTGCTCATTGGCCCCGAGGGGAAAAAAACACATTCCCACCTGGTTAATAAAATGACAGAGTACATTCAGTGATACCTTACTCTGCATATTGAACTTAGACATAACCAGAGGTACGGAGGTTGTAAATACCTACATTTACCTGGGTAACTTAAAAAAATAAATTGGTACTTAAGTGGTAGTTATGTTGTACTTTTTACTTTACTAGATTTTCTGATTATTTTACCACTCTTAAGAGAACAACAATCACTATTTATGTTCAGGTTCAATTTTTTGTTAATATTTATCTCTTTATATGAAGTTAAAAACCAAATATATATATATTTTAGTTTATTTCTGGAAGTAACTGGCCCTTGTATAACCCATACATATATAATACTTCAAGTATTGATACATTTTATGATTAAAAACCTGTTTTGAAAAAAAATACTTTCACCAATAAATGTTTAATTACTCTACATCATATAGTTATCGTTTGGAAAACTAGCATTTGCATACAAATTTATATTTTTTCAACTTGATATATGTATTTAGAATATTAAATCTGATTCCAAAAATAGAAAATTAAAAACAATCTACTGGACTTTGTTTCCAAGTTTGAAATAACGTTTCAAATTTGGAAATAAAGTCCAGTAGATTGTCTTTAATTTTCTATTTTTGGAGATTTATCAAGTTAGAAAAAATATTAATTTGTATGTTTTTTTGGAATGACTCTGGCCTGGATGACTGAGAATCTTCACCAGCGTATTAAATCATATGTTAGGATCATAACTATTAGGTAGGTAGCTTATTAGCCTTCTTACCAAATACTTTTTTTCTGTATTTACTCTTAATTTCTTTAATGCCTACTATTTACTTTTTCTTGGCTAACAAATGAAGTTGTGCTACTTTTATTTAAGCACATTATTTCTTTGTACTCCACCCACCTCTAGCCAACAGTCCCTTCATTTTAGTGACTAAACTTATCCCTTAAGTGATACATAAATGATACAACTGCAACAATAAAGGGGAATGTCCTCTCATTCTTATTTTTATCTTTATTATATTGTATAGTTAGATGTGTGTATATATCATGTAAAACTAACTGGAGCGTTTAACAAAAGTAATTTCCCTCTGGGATTATTAAAGTATTTCTGATTCACTGTGTCAGGATGTCCAATCATAGAGCAGATGCTCTCTGGCTTCAGATGTTCAACTTTAGGACCCAGCGGTTCCTGATCCATGTTTTTTTTTTACTGAAGTGAAGCTGTGCTGCTTCAACTTAAAATTATTTAGCTGTTAAAAGTGAACAAATTGATCGCTCACACGTCACTTAAACATTTCAGACGTAACAATTCATAAAAAGGGGGGAAACAATCTGGGAACAAGTTTCAATTTGGAAAGTATGTTAGGATCATGAGGGATCTCTAAAGGGTCATTAGAACACAGGAACTGTTTTGCGATGTTCTTTTAATGCTGTGGCGGCAAACAGTCGATGGCATTAACAGGGAAGCTGACGTCTGATACGTACATGAGTGTCGAAGCCGTTGTGTCGCAGCAGAGCCACAAACTTGATTATCTCATTGACGTGCTTGTCGTTGTCGGCCTCGTAGGTGACAAAAACTCTCCCTGCGTTCAGAGATACAGAAAACGAGCTGTTAGGAGGCGACGGGGAGGGGGACGGTTCGATCGGCTGGCGGGGCCATCAAGACTCACTCTGCTCCAGAGAGAGCGGCGTGCTGTACGTAGGGTGTCTTTCCTTAACTGGGACGTTTTGTCCACTGCAAGAAAACAAAAACAAACTTTCAGACCTCTGGAATACTGTGTGGACTCTGGAGGTTGAGTAAAAAGTTCACTTACATATGCGTGAATCCTGCTCCAGGGATTCTGCACTCCCCTGGATCTAACAGACAAAGGACAGAATTAAGGAAATCTACCAACAACAAGGAGAAGGAGGTTAAAGATGGAAGATCAGACTTACAGAAGGGGCTGTAAGCCGGGCTGTGTTGGGGCCAGGCGTATTTGTTGGCCATGGGCGGCCTGCTGAAGGCATCAGCAGGACACTGAGCGCAACAGGCAGGGCCCTGAGGTTGGCACGAGTATGGAGACAGAGTATGGTGGTAGAGCTCAGCAGACGGAGGGTTGGAGCGGAGGGACAGCGGCTGCTCCAAGCTCATCATGTTCCCAGTGTGCTGTCCTGGTAGGGAAGCCGATTTGCATCTGGACAGGCAGCTGTCCTCGGAGCAGCTGGAGTCTTCTTTCTGGCTCAGACAGGAAGGCAGGCTGTTGGGATACCCCGTCCAGCTGCTGGCGAAGCTCGGGTGGAGCATGTTGACCTGGCTCGGGAACGGAGTCGGCTGGCTGTATCCTGCAGGGAGGCTGTGGGGGGGCCTGGAGGAGCAAAAACTGGAGCTGGCAGGGGGGAACTGCTCTCGGTTCCACCCTCGCTTACAGAACATGGAGTCATCGGGGACCAACGTGTGGTCTGAGGGTCGGCGGTGGCCATTGAGGTTGAGTGCAGGCACCGCTTTGTGCCCAAGGCTGGCTTCTCTTTGCTCTGAGTTCATGGTCTCATCGTCTTCTTCAGGTGTGTTTTGGCAGGGGCTCAGGTGGCTAACATAACTAGGCAAAGAAAAAACTATCAGCCTTACAATAAACAGACCTCATGCTTCTCAGATGTCTGAAGTATCACCAATTTACCCTGTTAACACTAAAGCTAGAGCTACTAAACCCCAAAGTAGAAGCAAAAACAGGCGAGACTGTGACCTGTGCTTCAAACAGAAACCACTACAGACAAAAATGAGGAGAACAGAAAAACAAGAAGGCGCTGCTGGCGATTCTTTGACCTCTGAATGCTGATCAGGCAAAAGACATGACCTGCTTATCTCAGACAAGGTTTAAAAAGGTCATTTCATGGCCCTCAAACACTTTGAAGTGATTTTTATT